TGTCTTGCTTGTTTAAATCAGCAACTTTGAGCTGAAAATGAATGCTTTCTGTTTGGAACCATGAAAAAGTGTCTTCTAAAAACTTCTAGTACTTAAAACCTAGTTTCCGACGGTATAAAGTTTTCCATTTTTGGACATGCCAAACTCAAGATCTGATTTTCCAAAGATCGTCGCGCAAAACAGAAATTTTTCTATTACTTAAGAAATGAGTTTTTGAGAACTTGTCACTCTCTCTTGATATCGATAGACCGTTTTAAACTCGATTTCATAGAAGTGCAAGTCTCTCTTGGGATTTTAAATCCTCACTTTTGAACCTCGATTTTTGAGAGATTTAAAGTTCTATTTTAAGACATTGTCTTAGTTCTAAACAAGTGTACACTCTTCCTTGGTTGATGCATGCATGGTTGTAAGTGATAGTTAATCGTTATTTCTTCAGGCGCTCAAGAGGATCTTCAAGAGAATCTCGGAGCGGACGCCTAAAAGCTTATTTGCTCACTTACTCACTTTTGACTTGGTGAGTGTCAAGTGCATGAATTGTTGTTGAGTATGTGAATTGCTTCTTGTGAATTATGTGAATTAGAATTATCGAGACGAGTGTGTACTTATCGTATTCATTCTCTTTAAATGAAATTATGATCGAATTTCGCTATGTGAATTGATAATCGACTTGTGTGAAGTGATGCTGTTGTGAATTGTATTTGTGATTGTCGATTGGAACATTGTCTCATCGACTTATATTTATATTCAGGGGACGCCCAAACTCATAGACTAACCTTGTGACTCGAGCCGGCATGGGTTTGGTCGAGAAAATTGGTGAACCATGAGAAATTCGTAAAGCTTGATCTATTTGATAGATCTCGCTTGGCATACTCGAGTAGTATCGCCTTTCTAAATGATAAGCGGGCCCAGAACAGGGGGTGTAATAGTGAATGGGATTCGTGAAGTAAGTGGTGTTATACGGATTAAATATACCTACCCGATTGACGGAGATTCATCACATTGAGGTATATGATCGAGACTCGGCAAAGCAAGTGAAATCTAGCTCCTGAGAGCTCCCGTATTCTCATTGAGTGGGTTTTATTTTAAATTGTGAATTACTTGAATGTTATAGGTTTATTTCTCATATAAGTGCTATTTCTAATTGAACTATGTGTTTGCATGCTTTTCTTGGGCTCACTGAGCATAAGCTCACCCCATTAGTTTTGTTTTCCTTAACAGGAGCCGAAATGGAAAAATTATGGAGAAGCCGACTTGATGGCCTTTTGATTAGAATTTTGAATGTAATTAGTTAGACGACTTTTGGAGGTTGTATATTTTGGGAAATGTTGATGTACTTTTGATAACTTGTGATGTAAGATTTGAATATTTATTAAGGAAGCAACCTTTATTTACATTTTCGACTTTTAGTATTGATTGATTATCCATAAGTTGAATTTGTCTCGTAAGTGAGTCCTGACGAGAGTTAGGCAGGCGTCCCGCCGATACCCTTGGGTTCGTTCTAAGGAGAAGTGGGGGTGTCACACAAATAAATTTCGAGGCCTCACAATTACTTTCCAAAGGATACGGTGCTCATTAGGAGCCACTTAACACTGTACATTTCACAATATAATAACTCATTCAATATGAAAGGATACAAACTCCTTCTGAGAGTCATTTCAATATCATTGCACAATTCACCACAATTACCTCCTTATATCCTCCAAAACAATAAACAATTCCCTATATTCATTAATCAGTTCAATAATCTCCAAACTTCAGGTAATACTCGAGTATACTAAAACACTTACCCAAAATTACCGTCCTATTTAACCAAACCCTTTGCTAACTTGAATAGTTCGTTGAACAGAGGGTTTTGGGGCCCAGTTCAGCCAGTGTGGTAAAATACACATACAGCTTACATTCATGCACACTTACAGTAACATTTGGTCAATTATCAACCTTCAAACTCAACTAAGGCGAATGCAATAAAGTACACCTCCGACTAAGAAGGCGAGGGACAATTGAGATACACTTTACAATGCATCACTAGCAATATTCTATAATAAGCACATTTATCACATAACTTTACTTAAGTAAAATATAAGCAGTTTTAGACACACACAAATCCGGAGACACTCTTCTAAAGTATTTTGAGTTCACACCTCAGTATTTGGACCCTCAGCCGAATCTCCCTCGACTCTTGAGATATTTATAAACTTATTATTTTTCCAAATGGTGAAGTTAGGGCTCACATGATTATTTTGACTAAAGTGTATATATATATAATCCAATATGTTTAAATGTATATATATTTAGAAGGAGTTTTAAGGTGATTATATGTCACTAAAAGTTGGGATTTAGGTTCCAAGGATCATTTAGAATCGACGTGTAAATTAAGTAAGTTCTCTAGGATTTGATAGTTTAGGGATCTTATGAAGTTCTTTGATTTTACCATAGATTTTTGGATGAGTTTAATAGGTAAAACTTTGATAAGGTAACTTAGAGAAGTTTTGATCAGTTTTGATTCGTTTCTACCATAGAAATTCAAAGTTAAAAGCCAGAATCTAAGTTAGGATTGTTCAAAACAGATTTAGCAAGACATACTTCATGTTTTTTGTCCAAAGTTCACTATTTCCATTGTGCAAATCTCCTAAAATCCAACTTGCATTTTACCATTATATCTAATAGGTTGTTCTTAATTCAAAGTTTGGTCAAAATTTCCAGAGAAAGTTTAGAAATTAGTTTGAAATCCTCGATCATTCCAATCGGCTCAAAAGGGTCTAACTAATTCATACATCTCTAGTTTTAGATACCTAAAATCTTAACATTTAATTTTCTTGAATTGGTTCTATTTAGATGTGACGGATCAATTTAACTCCCATTCCCCTTTTCTAATCATTCAAGTTCAAAAGTAGCTAATTTTAATGTACTTTCTTGTCCATAATTCCATCTTTTATTGGACAAAAACCCCATGCATAACTAGATTATTACATTAAGGTGTGTGTGCAATTCATATGAAGCCAAATAACTAGGTAATAGTTACAGATCCACTCAAATAAGCTACAGAAACCTTCTCCTTCAATTTTAACCATTTTAAATTTTATCCAGCCACAAATCACACATCAACAAACTCAAAACACAGAATAAGTGTGAATCAAGCATTTTCCAGCCAATTTTATACCAAAATATTCATTCAAACTCCAAGAAATTTCCATTGGCTAAGCTGGAAAATGGTATAATAGTCATGCAGATTCTAATCAAAATTCCAGCCATAAACCATCAAATTTACACCATAAAATTCACATGCATGTCAATATTGATGTATTATAAGGTGTGAACAATAACAACAATGAAGTTTTACAGCCAAAATTCATGGAAAACTGGAAATTTTCACCATTTCTTTCTCTCGGTCCAAGCTAGAAAAATTCTAGCAATTGGCAGTTTGAAAAAATGAACTTTTCCCCCAACAAATTCTTTATTTTTCACTCTAACTCAACATGCATACGATGATTATTGTGTTATGAAGTATATTGAACCACAATGTGAAATTTGCAGCCAAGATTTGGAGTGGAAAACTAGAAAATTTTCTCTTTCTCTCTCTCGGCCATCCCAAACAGGTTCTAGCAGCTTTCTTTGACAATTTCAGCCAAGATTACCAATGTTTTTACTAGTTTCACAGATAAATATCCTATAGAACTAGAGATGAACATATTTCATGCATTCCTAGCATAACTCTCCAAAGAGAATTTTCAAATAACAAGCTGCAAATCCAGCTCTCACTCCCTGGGCTATAACACAGTTTTCCAACAAATGAGCGGTTATTAAACAGGTTTTCTTCAGCAAGACTCACCATTCTTATCTAAAAATCAACATGCAACCTACATAATTAAGAGTATTGGAAGATTGAGGGGTTTTTTACAAGTTTACCTCGCTCTTCTACAAAAATCTAAGCTGGAAAAATACGGAAAGCCTACTTCCTCTCTGGCTCCTCAGAAAATTTGCACCAAGCTCCTCTTCTTTCTTTCCCCAATTCGGCTGGTATAGACACCAAGGATTGCACCTTCCCCCTCTCACTCAACTCTCTTTTGTGCGTGGGAATGGGATGAAGATATCCCTCTCTCTACCTCACACTCTCTTGGCTTCAGCTGGAAGCAAAGAAGAACCAGAAATACTCTCACTCTCTCTCGTGTGGATTTTGGCATGTAGAAGAAAATGGTTTGGTTTTCCCTTCTCTTTCTTTTGTTCCTCTTGGTCAAGACAAATGGAATGGAGTTGGTTGCATGGTCATTTTTGAAGCATTCCATCGCCATTTAGTCATTTAACAAAGTTTTTGACATTTGGCAAAAAGAACTAGACATTTGTCATTTGTGTATTCTTGTTCCCAAACATTATTCCATTGTGGCCAAAATAATTTTAGTAGTCACACTATTGCACCATTAATTTGTTCTAAATGGTATAATTTCTATAAAATTATTCATACAATAATCTAAAGTATCCCTATGCACTTAAATTATAAGGAGACAATTAAACACATAAATCAATCAATGATATAGTATATGCATTATTTTGATAAAATGCTAAATATACGAATAAATTTTTGGGTTCTCACATCTAAACACATGAAACAAGGTAATCATGTGATTATTCTTTATTCAAGTAAGATATTTTACATACCTTTTCCACTCTAGTATCTTATGAATTCATTTGATTTGTTGAATGTGACAATTAACGAAAGCTAAACTTTGAAAGTTTTAGAGATTCTTTAAACTTTGGGTTTAATCTTTGTAATTGAACTAATTAGTTGCTTATTTATGGTCTCTCGGATGTTAAGAACACATCTTTGGTGTGTCTAGCAATAGATTTTCTGTCGCACTTCTAGTGTCATTCTTCGTCCTACTTTTTATTCTATTGTTATTTTTCCTTCATAAATATAGTATTTTAATTCTTTTTATTTTTTTTAAAACCCAATAACTATTATCATATTAATAACCATTTGTTGCATTTGAAACTACACTCATAGAATGGTGGCTCAAGATGTATATAGGGCGGTTTTGAGCTTTTTCTGTGGTGCAGAGCTCTCACGTTTTATTATGGCGACGTCCATTGTGCTTCTTCCTAAGGTCATGAACCCGAAGGATTTTACTCAATTCCATCCTATCAGTGTCTACAATTTTTTGAATAAAGTTATATCTCGCATTTTGGTGGGGCAGCTGTCAAGTATTCTGCCCCGAATCATTTCTCCCCAGCAGAGTGGCTTTGTTAAATAGAGGTATATCTCGGATAATTATTTGTTGACGCAGGAGTTGATGTCGGATATGGGGAGGAAGTGCAGGAGGGGGACTCTGGCTCTCAATTAGACATGGCTAAGGCGTATGATAGGGTCTCATGGCGGTTCCTTAGCGCAGTCCTGCGCCGGTTTGGATTTGGTAAAAGATTCATTGACATGGTGTGGAGACTGATTTCCAATGTTTGGTTTTCTGTGCTTGTAAATGGTGCGCCCTTTGGCTTCTTCAAATCATCCAGAGGGTTGTGTCAAGGGGACCCATTATCGCCGGCACTGTTTATTATTGGATCGGAGGTGCTCTCCCGAGGCTTGAATTCTCTTGTTTCTCAGGCGGGGTTTGTGGCTACAAGGTACCGCAGCATTGCCCTTCTGTTACTCATTTGGACTTTGTAGACGATGTTATAATTTTTACCAATGGGGGTGCGGCTTCATTAAAGCGAGTCATGCAGATCTTGGCATGGTACTAGAATGACTCTGGCCAATTGGTTAACGTGCAGAAGAATGGATACTTAGTACATCCTCGGACCACATTGGCTCGTAAGGGTGTAATTGAGAGGGTTACTAAGTTTCAAAAACAAGACTTTCCGGTTCGGTATTTGGGTGCGCCGTTGTTTATTGGTAGAGCCAAGGAGGCTTATTTCTCGGACTTGTGCCAGAAGGTTCTTGATAAGGTGCTTTCTTGGAAATCGCGGCTTTTGTCGTTTAAGAGGAAAATTATTTGATTAGACATGTTCTGTCCAGCATCTCGATCCACTTGTTGGGGATGAGCGTCATGCCAAAAGGTATCTTCCGGGTGATTGAAAGAGTGTGTGCGGACTTCCTTTGGGGAACGGGGGACGACAAAAAGAAATTCCATTGGATTCGGTGGAGGGACCTGTGTTACCCCACTGAGGAAGGAGGGGCGGGGTTTCGATCGCTAATTGACACGTATAAGGTTTTCTCTTGTAAGTTATGGTGGAATTTTCGATGTGGTCTCTCCTTGTGGCAAGATTCATTCATTCTAAGTATTGTAAGGGGCTCCACCCCTGCCAGATCTCTGTATCTCCCTTATGTTTAGCAAGTTGGAGAAGTCTCCTCGATATTAGGGGGTTGGCGGAGTTGTGTATTAGGTGGCATCTGTATGATGGTCATTGCAACTTCTGGTATGATAATTGGACTGGGCACGGGGCCCTCTATCTTAGAGTGGAGGTACGGGGGATGTCTCGTTTCCCAACGTTCTGACGAATGGGGAATGGGTCACATGGAGGCTAGCAGAAATTCTGCCTTTTGACATGGTCCAGCAGGTATTGGAGGTGGCTAGCCCGTGTGGGGGTTTCCCAGATCGCATGATTTAGATAGCGATGTGTTTGGGTCAGTTCTCGTTATCGTCCGCATATAACGAGGTTCGTGAAATAAAGCCGCCTTCACGGCAGGTGTGGCATGCAAGTGTTCCCTTAAAGATGTCCTTCTTTATGCTTCGTTTATTCCTTAATCGCCTGCCGTTGGATGACGTATTGGCGACACGTGGGTTTCAGCTTCCATCTAAGTGCTCTTGTTGTCTGGTATCGAATATTGGGTCCCTTCGGCACTTGTTCTTAGAGGAGGATCTAGTGGCTGCGGTATGGTGGTTTTTTGGACCATTGTGTGGGTTGGCTCTGAATGTCGGACATGTCCGAGTGTGGATGGGTAGTTGGTGGCTAAAGCCGGTGAAGTCGGAGTAGCTTAAGTTTGTGTTCCGGCTCTTACCTAGTCTCAGCTGTTGGCATATTTGGAAGGCTTGGAATAAAGCAGTCTTCCATGGGACAGTATCGAATCCTATTGGTGTATGTCAAGCCATCTTTCGGGATTTAAAGGATGCGTATTGGCTACGATTCAGGGAGTTGCAGCGGGTGTGGGAGTGGCCTACGTTCTTGGAGTTGGTGGAATGCCGGCCAGATGCTATCTTCATACAACAAATTCAGTGGCTTGCTCCGGGGCCTGGCGCGGTCAAGCTCAATATTGATGGGTGCTCGAAAGATAACCCAACGGTGAGTGGTGGTGGGGGGATCCTTTGGAATTCTGCAGAGTGTATGGTATTTGCATTCTCCGGATACCTTGGGAGGTGTACCAGCTTGCAAGCAGAGGCCAAAGATCTGCTAATTGGGCTGCAGTTATGTGTGCAGCGGGTTTCATGGGTAATTTGGTGGTTGAGATGTGACAGCCCCACTTTCTCCTTAGGCGAATCAGAGGGTTCAGCGGACCGCCTGCCCAACTCTCGCCGGGACTCAGTCATTCACTCACACAAATCAGAAATAGAACCACAAGAAAGAGCAAAACTAGGATCCAAAACTTACAGCAAAACTTATATACATTGCTATCTCAGAAAGAAGTATAACCGCTGAGAATACAAAAGTTCTCAAGTCACCATACAACCAGTCCATGCCAAGCACTAGGCGAGAACCAAAACAAAACCAAAACTAGACCCAGCCATTCGATACAGAGCTCTCGCCCCTGCTCGCCTTCCCCTGCTAAGGAAAACAAAACTAAAGGGGTGAGCTAAAAATTCAGTGAGGTTCCGAACACATAGGCAACAAGGAGTTCAAAGCATTCATTACATGTTACCAATAATTCAAATACAAAAGAAAGCGATAAACACATTCATTAAAAGGATACGTGTTCACAAGGAGCCATTCGTTCATTCATTCTCCTTTCGTTCCCTTATACCTTCAATCATTTGAAAATGCATTTGTATATAAATAAAACCCTCATTCATTCATTCGTTCATTCATTCATTCACCAGGCTCCACCAACCTCCACCAACCTACAAGGTAATACTCGAGTATACCAAAACGTTCACCCAGGTCCCTAATCGCCCGATCGAGTCCGCTTCTGGCTCGAGACGATCGGTAACAAGGGCAGTGGCCAGTTCAGTCCAAAGGCTTACATTCATGCACAAATAACATTTCAATCATTCAATCATTGAAAATTTCACAATTATTTAGGCCGAGTGCGATAAAGTACACATTTGCCTAGAAAACTCGTTTTAACAATCATTGAAAGCATTTAACATGTTATCAATCATTCATACCAGCCATAAAATCTTGAAATATAACAAACAAGGAACACTCACCTATACACGCAAAATAACGTCCACTTCTCAATCACCAATGAAACCTAAAAGTAAACAAAGAACACATTACAATCCATCTATCACGATTTGGATGAAATCAAGGATTACCCGACTACTCGCGAGTAAACGTATAAAATGACTTTTAAAGTGTCAATAGAGCATATGGATCCGTGGACGGAAATTACTAGGGTTCATAAACCAACCCAAAGAGGTATTAGGTTTTAGAATGGTAAAATGATCATTTTATTTGCCAAGCGGAAATATACAGGTTCAAATAGAAATTTAGCACTCGGCCACCTTTTGAAAGAGCCGGTAACATTTTCAGTAAATACGTCCAATTCGTCACAAAATACATTCGGAAAATCACTTTAACTTGCTCACATTACAAGAAGATAAACGGACGGCATGTCCCTTGTGTTTACCTATTTTCCAGCCATTAATGGCTTCATTATTTTCCTCAAAACAGTCCCAACATCTCATATAGAATAATCTCATGTCCAAAAGCCGTTCACTAGTCTTAATGTCATATAAATACAAAAATAAATACAAAAATCAAGCTAAAAACATTTCCGGATAAAAACAGTTTTTGACACCATTTTGCGGTTTTGGCACCATTGGCGCTACGATTATCGGATGAAGGTACAAGATACACTGCTTCGAAGCTAACAGATAGGGCTACAATGTTGAAGAAGGGCACTCAGTCCAGTTTGTAGTGCAACTAGGTCAAAATTGACATATATGAAACCAGAAACTCACAAACAGGTTGGCTAACCGCACAATTGTTAATCAGCAATAACTCTGGTTACCGAAGTCCGATTGAAGTATATCCTATGGTGTTTCGAAGCTAAAACACAACCCTACATTTATTATGAAGACCTCCAAGGCCAAATCATGCATTTTCATGATCACAAATGGAAAACTACACCAAAACAGAATTCTGGGCGCGAAACAGGTTTCATGGACAGCCAAGTGTATTTCGGTCATTTCACATGCTACAGTGGTTGGATTAAGCTGAAATTTTTCATGCAGCTAGTTTATACTATTGGCTACAACTTTCATGTTTTGGCCAAAAGCTAATTCAGTAGGAATCATGGTGAAAAGTCACGGTCCAATTGGGTGAAAAGACAACCCTGTTCGCTGAACTCCTACCTAGACCAATCTGGGTATTTCCGTCTTATCTCAGGCTACCGAGCTTAGATTGGGCTGAATCTTCACAGACAACTAGAAAACATCATTCCCTACAACTTTCATGTTTTGTGCTAAGGTCAATTCCGCCTCTAACCTGGTCGAACAGAAACAGGCAGAGAGGAAAAAAAAAATGGACCCTAATCTGGAAATTCATGCATTCATGTGCCAATCTTCCACAAAACAACATCTAAAACAACTAAAAACCACTAATAAGCAATTAATTGAAGTAAATAGGAAGTTTTTAAGCAAGGCACCTTGACACCTCAAGAAAGATGATAACTTAGGGTTTTTCTTTCACAAATCCCTCCACTAGAAGCTTTAATCCTCCTTAATAAGTAACTTTGATGGAGTAATCTTCACTTTTAATGGTTGGAAATCAAGATTGGAGCAAGGGATTGAAGTACAAGATGAAGGATTTCCTCTCTTTTCTCTCCTCAAAATTTCGGCCAACAAGGGGAAAAATGAAGAAACATTTGGTCAAAATGGATGTTTAGTAAAGTTAAGAAAAGTTAGTCAAAGTCCCCATCCAATGGTTTCATGACACTTGTCCCTCTCATTAATGTCATGCCTAACTTTTTTTGTCTTTCTCACACCTATCCACTTGATACCTCTAAATATCTCATAACACCCGGTAAACTAAACCCAGTATCCAAAACTTAACCGAACTGGCCGAATTTTTCCGAATTTTCCACACTAGCGGGTCCCACGTCCGATATACGCTCTTAATTTCTCAAAACTAACCGATACTAGAAAAATCATTTAAAACTATATTTACTCATAAAATTGATCTAGAAAAATTTTCTAGTAAAGAAAATGTAGAAAACGTGCAATTAAGAAAATTACGGGTCCTCACACTCTCTCCCCCTTCAAGAAATTTCGTCCTCGAAATTTTTACCTTCATTTGCCTCAGACGAGCCCGGAACTGTTTGTGTAACAGCCCACTTTCCCCTAAGGCGAACCAAAGGGGTTAGCGGACTGCCTGCCCAACTCTCGCCAGGACTACGGATCAGATTAGAGCTATCTGCTTCATTCCGGAACTTACAAACGCGCGTAAACAAATCAAAATAGTAGAATAACCCAAAATAAAATAAAATGAAATCCGGAGCCGGCCATGAATAGTAACCGACCCGTCAGAACCCAACCGCAATAGCTAACAAACATTCACATCTGAACTTTAGCGTGTACAAATCAAAATGACATACAAAAGCTTTCAAAAGTTAATACATATACACGGTTTGCCAAATTAAAAGAGAAAACGCCCCAAAAGTACACTTAGGGTTTTAATACATGAGCTATACAAAAGATATGTTCAACTAGCTCAATTTGGCAGCCATTTGTCAAATCCAGACCAAAAGGGTTTATTTTCCTGTAAGGAAAACAAAAGGAACGGAAAGGGGTGAGCTTGCGCTCAATGAGGTACCAAACAGATAGCATTAAAATCGTGCATTTCACATTTAACAAATCAGATACACATGTCAGATGTAAAGCAAAGGAACCAATGATTCACATCAGAAGGATACGGGTGGCTCTCAGGAGCCAAATTTCCAGCGCAGTACTTGATCCAAATCGGTTGACTCTCCGTCAACGTATATAGAACCAACGCGTCCGTAGACCCCTCTTAACACCGAATTCCGTCCACCAAACACCCCTTTATCGGGCCCGCTCACCTCAAACGAACAAAATGGTAATACTCGAGTATACCCGGAATCAAGGGTCTCAATACCCAAAATCCCCGAACAGACTACCGTGGTTCGTTATCTAATCGTTCAGGCCCTTGCCGGCCCGACTCGAATAACTTAGCCACAGGACTGAGCTCATAGGTCATAGAAATCCGAACAGATGCAGACACAGATAACAGATTCAAATTTTGCATAGTAAATTGGCATATGAACAGACAAGAGAACGAGTGTGATAAAGTACACCCTCGTCTCAAACAAATAAACAGATTGCAGAGCAGAAATCAAGTTAAACAGCAATGGAGGGGAGTGGTACAC